CTGGTAGTTACTGCAGCCCCATGCATTTGTGCCGTGCTTCAATTTCCCTGGTGGCTAAAGGACTTATCTGTGCAACTACTGTTTTCGTGAAAAAATGGTACAGTATTCACTGTCAGGGCTCAAAACGCCATTTTGGGGCCGAATTCAACGAATATGATCAAAATTGAAACATGTCTTGCTTGAAGAGTGTTAACCCAAATCCAATAATTCCACGTGGAATTTACTCGTTGAAGAGGTCCAAAACGCCTCATTACAAAATGGACCTTACCTTTTACCTCCATTTTGAGAATGGCACTTTGGTTAATCCCATGTTGGAGAAAATGGAATATTATTTTTGAAATGTTACCAGACGCACCCTAAACCAACTCGAACTTCATGAATCTGATCACATATTCGTTGAAAAGTTGGTGATCTATCGTTATGGGCAAAACATTTGGATAAGATTAGCCCCAATTAAGTCTCGTTCATTGAATTTTCCGCGCCCCCAACTGCGCATTGTCGAACGAATACACATGAATCCGATCCTTGGATCCCCCTGTGGCCACGAACGCTTCTTCTGTGGTTGCGATGAAGTCAGCAGGGCCGCACACGTACAAGTCGCTATGCGCAAGATTTGGCGCAATGTCTTTGAGCTTGTCGGCCGAGACAGTTGGCGCATAGTGGATGGAACTGGATTCCCATTCGATGGGCTTTCCTGTAGAGGTCACCGCAGACGTGTACGCGTCCACGTCGGCTTGGTTGGGGGCCACTTGCAACGTCACGGCGCTGCCGTGGAACGTTTCTCGAATGCGATACAGTCCCTCCAGCATGACCAGGAATGGCACGCACCCCACCCCATGACTCACAAACACGACATTTGAGGGAATGGATTCGGGCGAGTCGATCTCAAACCGGACGTTTGACTCAATCCAGTACAACTTGACGGTCGCTCCAGTCGCTTGGGTGACGAGCCAGTGCGACGACGCGCTCACGTCGTCCACGACAATGTCGATGGTGTTGGTCCCTTCGACACTGAGTGAGGCAATCGTATAGTGCCGCTTCACTTCTCCCCCTTCGGCGACAGGCAGCCCCAGAAGAATCGCATCGCCCGGATGGAACCGCAAGTTAAAGTCAAAGGTCAACGTGAGTCGCTTGGCCGTCGCTGAAATTGTCTCCGACTTGGAGATCGTCGCGGGCAGGCTTTCTGTGATCTCGACCGGCTCGTTGTTTAGGATCACGGGGAGCATCACAAAGTAGATCAAGCTGTACGCAGTCAGGTACGCCGTAGAAATCTCTGGAGTCCACTTGTCTCCGCTCACGATTTCCAGCGTTTGTAGCAAAATCTGGCCCACCGCCGTGTAATGGTCCTTCTTGGCACCGTACTGGAGATGCCGTTTGGCCAGTTCTTGGGACGCCTTCACGATGTTGGCGCCGTTGATGACTGTGGCTAGGGTCTTGATAATCCCCGCCAACGACTTGCCTTGCACGGTCATGCTGGATCGAAAGATCGGACGCAGCGACGGTGCCATCTCGAACAAGATGTTGTAGAACGTCCGATAGAAGAACTTGGTCGGCGTCAGGTGCTTGACCGCGTCAAACGCGGAAGTGCCCTGGCAGATGGCAGACCAATTCTCCTTGATCAGAGTTTCGTGCTTGCGGGTAACCACGGGGCGCTTGATGTCAAATGGCATGTCGTTCTCGAAGCGGGCAGCGAACGGCTCCGTGAGCCCAATGGAGCCATCTTCGGCAACGTAAATGATCTCAGCGTTTTCAACAGACACAGCTCCTCCCATGACGTGTTTTGCAGGGTGTTGTTGGTTTGGTACGTGTGAATGACGCAGTAAAGTTGGGAATGAGTGAAAAGTGCGCGTGAAACTCTTTCGATGCCTGAAATAGAAACCAGGGGACTAATTTTACGCTGCCGTGCAAGCAATGATAACGTTACTGTTGAGTTCACAATGGATTCATTATTGAGTTCACAACCGTTTTACGCAGAAATGGCTACAAATATGGCGACTATACCAGCTGTATTTATAGGCCCACGAGAACGTTACCATATGCACAATGGTTGAATCCAAATATGGCGAGTATACCAGAATTAGGACTCTCTAAGCATTAAATCGGATTTCTTGTGAAATTCTCCATGGCAGTACAGTATACCCATCGCCAAGGCAATAAGATACTGAACATAGGTCATTGAACAAGAGGTATAATAGACCTCTTGTTCAATGACGAAGTTTCAAGTCAGAACGTGGTTAGTGATCATCCATCAAGGGCCTTGATGGATATCTATAATTGCTCATTTATTTAATTATTATTTATATCGGTTTTAATAAGCCACGAGAAACATTACGTCCCATGCGATTTCCTGCGTGAAGCGCCGCTTTGAGAGCGAAGTACTAGTTCCGAGGTTAACCAAGGGCAATCTACAGTAATTAGGGTAAACTACTAAACTTCTCTAAATTCACAATTTTGACTTTGACAAGCTATAACTTGGTGAAGAATACATCGAATCCTTCAAAGTTTCCTTCTGTGATGTAGCGCGTTCAATCCTCAAAAACAGCATAACGTGAACGAGCCGAACTTTCGATGATAGGCCGAGCAGGTTTACCAAATAGAAATCCAGATTTCATATGATTGGATAAAATAGATCACGCCACAACATAATACTTCGAAGTACCTATATTACCTTATGCAGCTTATAGCGCGGAAAACGAAGCCATTTGGTGTTTTGAGCAGCGTGACGCGCGACAACACACCTTTGAAGTTCTAGCACCCATGCAAGAGCGACAACAAGGATGGAGCTAGAGTACCGCCAATACCAAATGCAACTTGAGGCTGCACGTGATGAGCGAGAAGCTAAACGTCTGGAGCGACAAGAAGCAATGGATATCCAACGCGAAGCGCATTAAGCTAAGATGGACCAAATCATTGTGGTCATGATGTCCTAATTCCTAGAGAAGTAGCTGTGCTTTAAAAGTAGGTTTTATCCTATTTAGAGTACTTTTTTTTTTGTTGTTGATTTTGTTTTGCACAATTCTTTATAATAGACCCAACTTGTGCAAATCGTGCGTATTACTTTGGGCCCACCTCCTAATCGAACATATTGATTGTTCAGATTTCTTGAAATGCCTAGTTGAAACCTAATCAGGAATACGGACTCCACATAAGTATACAAAATAATTAACACACCTATAGGACATATGCTCCATTTCGGATTTTCGATAAATATTATTTCAATCTGAAAATCAAATTTAGGATATGTATGCCTAATTCATTGTGTAACGAATTTGACTAATGCCGATGCGTCGCACATGGAAATTGTACCTCGAATCCAGTCCGATAGTTGAAGGCAACTTGAACGAGGGGCATCACATGGAGCCATTCGTTTTCGTTCAGCTTCATTTTGTTGAGCAGTGCCTTCACGGCGCGGAGAACTACCATATACCCCCCACTTCAGTACCTATGAAAATGTCAGTGAAATCCGATCACAACCGGTACAGCTCCACGCGGTACCTTAAAAACTATTCAGGCATGAGCATTGGTCTAAATCCATGACAGGGCTTATATTTAATTCGATGAATATAATTAACGCATGGTGATTGGATATTTCTGTCCAATTAGAGACAACTCGGTACATGCCCAACCTGAACCATGAAAATGTTCGTGATTGGCCGGTATGTTCCAAACCGGTACAGGTCCAACCGGAGAAATCATAGGTACTGAAGTGGGGGAGATGGGGGAACTGGCGAAACTCATCATAACGTTAACACGAAGTTATGGAAGGCCAAAATCGAGGCATTCATAATTGGCGAAAGCGAAACTGGAGTTTCTTCGTAGTCATCCAACGTGTTGGAGAGGGACATTGGCTGCTGTACTGACACGTATTATATCGCTCACTGCATGTACTTCGCCCGTTTCACATTGAAAACACAACAGTTCCGTAATATTTCATTACATTTGCGGATGCAATATTTTTATTGCGCATGTGCATGTTTTTGTGGTATGAAATGTCGACATGCGCATATTCGAAAATGGACAAACTTTGATGACGCTTTTCTCGAGCTGTGTAAAAAATGTGTTAATACTTAGAGCAATGCTACTCGTACTACAAGATTGTCCATTACTAGCTCAGCCTATGCAGCATGATCTACGCATACACAGCTCTCTGGCATGAGGCATCTTACCCGCATGTACACACTTGTTCTTGAAATACGACGATTTTGCCAAGTTCGAAGTTGTCTTTCTCTACAGCTGTTGATTCAGGCGACATGCAATAATGTGTTCTTGATAGTATTGGTTGTTGTTATGAGGAATGGAGAGTTTCGTCACCCGTTGTGCAGTATGCATTGAGAAATCGCTGACCTGCATCGCGCCTTTCCCGCATGCATGTACGCCTGCGCAATCTACAGGATGTATAAATCGTTGGTGGAAAACGTAAATAATTATGGAGATGAATACAAATACGCATACTTTATACAAATATCAACATACAGATGTTCAAGCGAATAATAATATGTAAAAGTCGCGCGCATGTACACGTCGTTTGATTCCGTGGAAACAATGGCGCACCACGATTTGAAGGAGTCAGGGGCCCTTAATTCTCCATAGCGATGTGTTTGTGTCCTGTTCCCGCATCTCCCTGGGGGTATACGGTAGTCGGTTGACTGCTAACACCACGTTCGCCTTAAAAGGACATACTTCCACAGATCGAATATATGCGCATATGCTCTGTAAGCCAGTCGACTTCAACGTAGTCCATGTGGTCGCTTGGGTTACGCAGAACCTGGCTACTTATCTCTAAATACTTCCAGGTAGCGCAACTTTTAGCCGGATAATCCAATGAAGCGCAGTTGCGCTGACGTTGCGTTACATGCACAGTTTGATTGGTCACATACAATTTTGAAGATAAAAAAACTATCCATCAGATATTCCATACTGCGGAGAGGTACGGACTTGCGCATTTATTATCCAGAGGCTTGATTTTCTGCAGGTTTGTTATTTCTTCACCATTGTGCCGCAGTTGACCTTGACCGAGCGTTAATTTTGGCCGCCACTTCCATGACAGTGGTCGCAAATAATTGCATGACAGTGATCGCAAATAATTGTATAAGTGCATCTCCACCGCGGCGACAGTATATTTGTCACTCAAATTAACAGTAAACTTCGGTTTTCCCGGATAGCATTCGGATAAAAATACGTTATCCGGGAAATTTGGTGTATATGTAGATATATTTTGTCGCCCACGACGTTTGAGCCCGACATTGGTATGATTGGACAAAATTATGACCTGATGGATCGTGATTGGCCAAATTAAGTGTGTGATTTCAGGAGGCTCATTTGACAAAAGACAAAGTGACATTAGAGACGTCCCTCACGCTTTCGCTTTCGGACTTCGCTCAAGGTATTGCTGTATGAGCTGGTATGGCCCTCATATACTGACTCAAACATGTCATAACTAACGTACTTCGCAAATGCCTTTGACAGGGTCAAGCGCTCAGAGTACTTGCGGCGGTCGGCGCGAATCATTTCCTTCGTGAAGGAACGCAGCGGCTGGAACAAACCCAATTGTGGGTCACTGGTATACCACTGATTCCACGCATCCATGGCTGATCGTGCAGTAGGAACAACTGCATAAAGAACGAAGGAGTCAAGCGTCGCTTGCCGTCGGGGGATCGTGGCAGGTTTCGTGGCAGGCGCCGGTGCCAGTCGGGTCGGCGCAAGACTCGCCACAGGGCCAAACGCAGGTGAGAACTGTATGGTCCCCTGGAGGCCTTTGACGATGGCATCACCCAAGGCTTGCATGCTCATGGCATTCAAACTTGTTTCGTAGTTTGCAGCATTGACCCGCAAGAGATTGCGCGGGTCAATTTCATTTGAAATGTTCCTTGTAATGAGATTTCGCAGCATGTCTTTGCATCTTCCCAACGACACTACGCCATAAGCTCTCGAAAATTAAACTGGCGCTCGGGGGATTCGAACACACGGTAAAAGCTTCCTCCACGGCGCATGCTATGCAGCGTAATTCCTACAATTTCCAATCAATGCAAAATTAATAAAATGAAATAATTATACAACAAATAGATAGTCATTACAAAATCAAATACAAAGTGCATATTAATATGAACAAGACAAATTCACCTGTTGGTAGCTCGGAGTTCTTCTGAACAGCATCTTTCAAGTACAATCGTACTTGATTTTGATCGAGTGCCTTGAACCAGTTCAGCCTTGGCACACCATTTGACTCCATCGTGTGGGCAGGGAACTCGAAGGACTTAGACGCCAAGTTGGGGCTTGCACGCTTGACGACATTGACCGTGTGTTCGAATCCCCCGAGCGCCGGTTTAATTTTCGAGAGCTTATGCCATCGTCAAAGGCCTCCAGGGGACCATACAGAGCTCACCTGCGTTTGGCCCTGTGGCGAGCCTTGCGCCGACCCGACTGGCACCGGCGCCTGCCACGAAACCTGCCACGATCCCCCGACGGCAAGCGACGCTTGACTCCTTCGTTCTTTATGCAGTTGTTCCTACTGCACGATCAGCCATGGATGCGTGGAATCAGTGGTTTACCAGTGACCCACAATTGGGCTTGTTCCAGCCGCTGCGTTCCTTCACGAAGGAAATGATTCGCGCCGACCGCCGCAAGTACTCTGAGCGCTTGACCCTGTCAAAGGCATTTGCGAAGTACGTTAGTTATGACATGTTTGAGTCAGTATATGAGGGCCATACCAGCTCATACAGCAATACCTTGAGCGAAGTCCGAAAGCGAAAGCGTGAGGGACGTCTCTAATGTCACTTTGTCTTTTGTCAAATGAGCCTCCTGAAATCACACACTTAATTTGGCCAATCACGATCCATCAGGTCATAATTTTGTCCAATCATACCAATGTCGGGCTCAAACGTCGTGGGCGACAAAATATATCTACTAAGAGGAGAAAATTTAGTGTCGCTCCAAACGAAATATCATCTACCCAATTTCCTGGATAGAGACATTATGTCAAATGAGCCTCCTGAAATCACACACTTAATTTGGCCAATCACGATCCATCAGGTCATAATTTTGTCCAATCATACCAATGTCGGGCTCAAACGTCGTGGGCGACAAAATATATCTACTAAGAGGAGAAAATTTAGTGTCGCTCCAAACGAAATATCATCTACCCAATTTCCTGGATAGAGACATTATGTCAAATGAGCCTCCTGAAATCACACACTTAATTTGGCCAATCACGATCCATCAGGTCATAATTTTGTCCAATCATACCAATGTCGGGCTCAAACGTCGTGGGCGACAAAATATATCTACTAAGAGGAGAAAATTTAGTGTCGCTCCAAACGAAATATCATCTACCCAATTTCCTGGATAGAGACATTATCCGTAACTTCGAATAGCAGTACTACACCATTTCCCGTTGAAGTGGAAATGAATTTCCAGTCAGAATGAAATAAAGAGGTTTCGGAAGCACTTTTGATATAAGATTCAGGTTATGGAACTCATCTCAAAAGTGGAAAAAGTAAAACTTTCGGTGAAGAATTTTAGATGTGGAAATGAAATACTTCGAAGTATTCACGACTTTCGGAAGTACTTTTCAGAGATTCAGATACGGATATTAACCGAACGAGCGTATTTTTGCCGCTCCTCCGGCTTCGACGGACGAGGCGTCGAGGGCGAAAGTAGCTGAGAGCGTGGATAGGCGTCCCCCGGGGGCCGGTATAACCACGAAAACATTACAGAACCACGCATGCATGCAACATACTGCTACTTGTATCCGAGTGGGCGTCTTATTAGTGACCATTCAACATGTTTACCCCACTTCCTTGGTTCCTTTGCTCTCAAGAATGCAACCAGTCGCTCGGTTAGCCACTCCGCCATACATTCAGGCGTCTAGCTGTATCGCTCTGTCCAAGATATGTCTTGTATGGATAGATTAGGCGACTCGAGGAAGTCACCACTTTAGCCTAACATAAGCCTATGAATGTCGATTGCGTGAAGGAGTGTACAGAAGGCTGGCTGATGCCACCCAGTCACCATTATCCGAAAAAATTATCCGTATTCTCCTATGCAAAATAGTCCTGGAAAACTGCGGTGAATTTGCTCGACGATACCGCCCATGCACCAAATCCTCAGAACCTCTTAATAATGATATTTATAAAGTGATAAAGTAATTAAATTTAGAAATGCAACTAATATAAAAACTGTATCACATGTCTGACATGCTCAATATTAAATGTTACAAGTATTTTATACAAGAGTACGCAATTCTGTCCAATCATAGTCCATGGATGATTATGATTGACCATTTGCTGGCGCGAATTGCATGCTGGTCGGGAATTCCATGAATCACCTTACAGTTAATGCACGCGACGATGGACTCGAGATATACCGTGCTAACTTAGTATGTACAGTACATTACGTATTACTAGTACTAATACTTCAAATTTATACTGTAGTAACTGTACTACAAATAGCACGTCGTAGTCACAGATGTCAATTACGATTGACAGTGAAGTTTGAAACTTGGAAACACTGTTTTAACATATAAGGTGACCAATTGTGATTGGTAATATTTTGAAACGGATATAAACCAACCAATCAAGTACAGCTGTACGTCCATTGAAAAGCAACATCAATCACCCGACATTTGACATCCATTTCATCGACTACCCACGAATAAGCATCGGCTAATCAAAGACCATGAGTTATGCATGCTCAAAGAAAACGTTAATACTAGTATCGGACAAACGATATTGCCAATGCACAGCTTTTGCAAAACAACTTGTCATACGCATAAATTGTGGAATCGGGCGACCACTGTCTTAGAGTTATCACTATGCTAGGGTACCTTAGAGTATCCCCACCGGTGCGACTGTACACGCTATTATACAGTTCTATCCGGATTATTTACAGTTTTGACAACCCCACCGGGCAACTGTAAAATACAGGAAACTGTAAAAATTTACCGCGAGACGGCAAATCGGCCAGATTTATAGTCGCGACTTTAAAATACAGTTTTGACGAATTAGCCAATAACATGCTACAATGGATGATTTTGTCCAATCATGTGCGTTATGTAGTCAACAATCTGTCCGTGGCTCCAACTTCACGACCGACCGACGAAGACTGCCAGCTTGTCCGGTCATGGATCAACATCTCTCAAGATGCGTCCAAGGATAGTACTCATCACGCATCACCACACCGTCCATGATTCGTTCAAACAGCGGTCTGGCCATTCGAAAACGACGGCGAAACTTGGCTTCGCCGTAGATTGGATTGGGACCAAGTAGTAGATAAATCCGAGCCTGCGCAGTCTCGCTATCTCGTTGTAGGTTTGGCTGGCGGTTGGCAGTAAAGCCTCTAGGGCGCGCAGAATACTGATGAAAGCCAAGAATCTCCCAAGCTTGATCCATGTCATCATCGTCGTCCTCCCACACCATCATGACTTCACACAAACGGCGTTCACTTCCGGATAAAAACATTATTCGGGTGTTTTACAGTTTTACCGCTGACTTGACGAAAATCAAAATACAGGAACTGTAAAACGGTATTTTACAGTCTGATTATACAGTCGCACCGGTGGGGATGCCCTTACTACGATTTACGGCGTGCAGCCGTGGCCCCCCGCAATGTGGTAGCACTTTGTGGATTCAAACATGGTCATGATGTTGGCGGTCACAGACACACACAAAATGGAAAACGCGCCAACGAGCACCGAGCCTCCCACCCAAGGGTGTTTGGTTCCATTTTGCTTCCACTCTTGCAACATCTTTTTTTGTGTCGGGTACAGAAACACAAACAAGCACGCAAATACCACGCTCGAGTAATACACGACATAAGTCGTGGCCACGTCGTTACGCACTTGAGACGTGTCGGACTTGATGTCGCCCTCCCCCACTTGAAAACGCTCGCAGTACATGTTTGTAACCATTGTGCCAAACACCGACGGGAGGTTGGTGACCGTGGTCAAGAGGCCGTAGATGATGCCTTCGTTGCCTTCTTCGGCCAGTTCGACAATCGCAAACGTCGTGATGATAAACAGCACGCCTTGCGGAATGTACTCTGTGATCGGCACGCCGAGGTAAAACCACTGGTTGCGCAAATAGTTGTAAATAGTCAAGTACTGCACCACGGCATCGATCGCCACCGCCGACAGCGTGGACAACACGATCCAGAAGCGCCAGTTCCACGTCGTCCCCCATCGGCCCATCACCCCCAAGATGGCTGCAAAGATGAGTGCCCCCAACGCCGACATGACTGAGTTGTTGACGTTATCCACGTTTGCCCAAACACTTTGAACATACGGCGCGGCGGTTGTCGTGATGTTGGACCCAAATAAGTTGAAGAAGAAGTTGAATAACATGATGGTCCACACCGCACGCTTCTGGGCCAAGTCCCAGAATTGCCGGAGGTATACACGAAAGTTGACCCCGTCGTGGCACTTGTCTTGAATGTACACATGTGTGACGAACACGTTGAGAAAGCACGGTACGGTCAAGATGAGAAACACCGTGTTCAGTCCAATGTCTGCGTTGAACGAGCCCCCGTAGTTGGCAGAGTTCAACCCAAACCCCATCAACGCGATCGAGAGGGTCGACGTCACTGTGCGTGTGGCATAAATGAGCGACTGCATACGCCCCCGGACGTGTTCAGGTTCTCGCTGAGCATACTCGACGACTAGTGCATCCGCAGGCACATCGGCGATGATGTATGCAAACGTTGCCAACGCACACAAGAGGCCAATGGTCGTGGCCCGCGATTGTGCATCCACATTATATGGGTCGGTCTTTGAAAGCTTTGGGTTCCCGGGCCCCCCATGAGGTAAAAAGCCCAACACAAGCATGCATGAGCCACAGAGCAGCCAGCCCAGCACCATGTAGGACTTCCGACGATATCCAAACATCGGAAAGCAGTCGGACACGATCCCCACAAACACCTTGAGCGACCACCCCAACGAGATCAGGGCGCGCGCAGACGAATACCGGGTCCCCGTGACGTGGAAGTAGCTGACAAGGATGTTGTACGGAACGAGGGGCAATGCGCCATACATGAGACCAACGGTCACGTACTGCGCCAACAAGGCAAGCACTTCGGGGCTGGTGTACACGGGTGCCCCCCCTTCACGCAAGGCCCCTTCGTCGTTCCCGCGTCCATTGTCTACTCCACTGGGTGACTTGAAACCAGAGTAGTCGGCTACTTTTTCATTGCCTACACTCACACGCGAAATACGCTCGAACAGCTCGAGTCCCACTGAAGTTTTGTGCATTTGCCGCTGTGAAATGCAGAGTGATACTTCGCACCGAGAAAGCCGCTGCAAATACTCGAAATCAAAGGTTTCGGAACACCCTTACGCATCCGGAAAGTCACTTCCCATCACGAGGGAGGTGAGGGGCAACGCAGGGAAGGCCAACGAAGTCCCAACATGATACGGTTGTCAAGTTCTACAAGTAACTTTTTGCAGCTGTGGCCGCCTGAAATGCGGTATGCACTCAGTGAATTCAAACATGGTCATGATGTTGGCCGCCACACTCAACACGACGGAGGCCTCAAGCAGTACCGATCCGCCGATGTGTTCTAGCTCTACTTTTGCGTGGGTTCAAGACGCCCCAGAGCATGCAAACATAGCGCTTGCGTAGACCGTAGGTCGTGCCACCATCATCACGCGTGTCCTTGTAATAAAATTACGTGACCCACACGTTGAGAATGCCTGGCACGACCAACATGAGAAGCACGCTGTTGAGAGCAATGTCCGGATATCAAACGAGACTCCGTAGTTGGTAGAGTATAACCAACAACACGGCCGACACCGTAGATGCTACTGTCAAGCGTGGCGTAAATGAGCGACTGCATACGCCCTGGGTATGGTCGTGTTCCCTCCCGTGGGCATACTCCGCGATCAGCGCATCCGCAGGCTTCCGGCGATGATGCTCTCAAACGTCGCCATGAGATACAAGAGGTCGATATGTCGTCGCGCTTCAAAGTTGTACGGGTCGGTCCTGGGATGAAGCGAAGAGTTCTCACGGCCGCCATGTGACATGCAGCCCAAGTCGAACGTGCACGAGCCACAGAGCAGCCAGCCCAGCACATGTAGGACTTTTGACGGTAGCCAATGATAGACCCACAAACACCTTGAGCGAGCATCCCAACGAGATGACACTATATCGGACCCCGTGACGTGGAAGTAGTTTACGAGAACTTTGTACGGAACGTATAGGAACACATGATGGTCACGTACTGCGCCAACAGAGCGAGCACTTAAGGATGGAGCACCCCGTTCTCACATGAGTCCTCCATTGGGGACACCATCTTCGAGTCCCCCACGAAATTGACGCTTGTGCAGGCAAGGTTTGTCGCTTTTGTCCTTGGTGACGCTCACGTGCGGAACGCGCTCGGACAGTTCCATCGTTTTTTTACCATGGTTGGTTTGGCCCCAAGGAGATGGGAATTGCAAAATTAGTTTCAGAAGAAGCCGATTCCAGTCTCAATCGTTAGGCCAACCGTCCTGAATGAAAAAACCATATAACCTTAGTACAGTGAACCGGGGAGAAACTGGACATGGTGTGGTTTACAATTCCTGTTGTAGGCTATGGACCAAAATAAAATAAGAGCAAAAATCGAGCAATATCTGATTGGCTAAAATTCATGTAACGTTATAGCATGGTTGGATTCAGAAGGGGGGTTTACCCCGAGAACCCTCCCACCGAGCACAAGACAAACAACGAAGTCCATCACACATCAATTACTACACATACTAACCGTAAGTAGTAATTATACTAAAACTATTTCCGGTCGAGTTGTACTACCTCTGTTATGTAACTATTGCAAGCAGACATTCGTAGGTATACAAAGTGCAAGTAATAGGAATCTTAATTTAATAGAATTAAACAACCCATCGCCGAGCAGGTTAGACACTTCTTCTAATCTATCGTCTTCCTTAAGTCTCGAAGTCTGTGCAAGTGCCACTTCGACTTCATCCGCCACCTTGCTCCGCGGCATCTTGTACCTATTGTCCCCTTTGGCATCGATGATAACGTGCATAAAACGCTGGATAGTCTTGAACGTCTTGTCAAATTTCACATCAGAAAGCTTGAAAAACGTCAA